AATTTCCTGATTATCTTTCTTACAATTCTCTGAGTTAGTTACATCAACAAAAATTTTTTACATCACCACTGTTTATAACCCAAGAAAAATACATATTTATCACATTACTATTTCTAGGTTTTGTCAATAGCAGAACTAATAGAAATTATATTCATACAGCAAAGTTTTCCAACATTATACATGTAGCATTCATTTTAATATTTGTGAAAAGGGAATAATATAAAATGTGCTTATCACAGGTGGGGATGGGATGGGATCAATGGGATCAATGGGATCAATGGGATCAATGAGATGGGATCAATGGGATGGGATCAGATGGGATGGGATCAGATGGGATGGGATCAATGGGATCAATGGGATGGCATCAATGGGATGGGATCAGATGGGATGGGATCAGATGGGATGGGATCAGATGGGATCAATGGGATGGGATCAGTGGGATGAGATCGATGGGATGGGATCAATGGGATCAATGGGATGGGATCAGTGGGATGGGATCAATGGGATCAATGGGATGAATGGGATGGGATCAATGGGATCAATGGGATGGGATCAATGGAATCAATGGGATGGGATCAATGGGATGGGATCAATGGGATGGGATCAGATGGGATGGGATCAGATGGGATCAATGGGATGGGATCAGTGGGATGGGATGGGATCAATGGGATCAATGGGATGGGATCAATGGGATCAATGAGATGGGATCAATGGGATCAATGGGATGGGATCAATGGGATCAATGGGATGGGGTCAATGGGATCAATGGGATCAATGGGATCAATGGGATCAATGGGATCAATGGGATCAATGGGATCAATGGGATCAATGGGATGGGATCGATGGGATCAATGGGATCAATGGGATGAATGGGATGAATGGGATGAATGGGATGGCATCAATGGGATCAATGGGATGGGATCAATGGGATTGGATCAGATGCGATGGGATCAGATGCGATGGGATCAGATGGGATCAATGGGATGGGATCAATGGGATGGGATCAATGGGATGGGATCGATGGGATCAATGGGATGGGATCAGATGGGATGTGATCAGATGGGATCAATGGGATGGGATCAGTGGGATGAGATCGATGGGATGGGATCAATGGGATCAATGAGATGGGATCAATGGGATGGGATCAATGGGATCAATGGGATCAATGGGATGGGATCAATGGGATGGGATGGGATCGATGGGATGGGATCAATGGGATGGGATGGGATCAATGGGGTGGGATCAATGGGATAATGGGATGGATGGGGAGCAGGAATTTTCCCCTGTGCCCCGTGCCCTGTCCCAGTCCCTGCCATACCCAGCACGGTGATGAGCGCCTTGGATGATGGGATAATGGGATGGGATGGGATCAATGGGATGATGGGATGGATGGGATGGGATATTGGGATGATGGGATGGATGGGATGGGATATTGGGATGATGGGATGGATGGGATGATGGGATGGATGGGATGGGATATTGGGATGATGGGATGATGGGATGGGATGGATGGGATGATGGGATATTGGGAT